TTAAATTACATTAATTTTTATAAAAAAAATTTCAAATATTATTTTTTTAGTTAAAAAATTTAAATTTAATATTTTATATAAAAAATAAATTTCTTTCCCTCATATCAATGTATCTTTAATAAAATTTTAGTGTATAACTCTGGCCAATAAATGAATATTTCATCCAACCCACCAAAATTCAAATCAACTTGATCCCTTCCCCTTCCTCTTATCCCTCAATTCTCATTGTACAAAAAAAAAAAAGAAAAGAAAATCAATGTATCTCTAGTAGAAGATACATACATCAGAGGAGGTCATTTGTCAAAATTGCGTTTTGGTGGTTCACGTTACACGAGGTCATTTGTCAAATGGTGCAATAAACAGAGCCAACGATTTGATTTAATTTGATTGGTAGAAATGGACTTTCCATTTTCTTTTGTTTTTTTTTTTTTTACAAGTTCTTTTGTTTTTTGTTTCTTCTCACACACTAAATAAGTTTGCGTTATCCAGAAATCTCTACATAATTATTTTTATTTGTAAAGCCTGAGATGTATTAATAATAGAAGAATTAAAATGTATTTGTGGCATGGTTTTGAAACCCGAACCGGTGGTTGAACCGGTTTGGTGAACGGTTTCCGGTTTTGGCGGTCTGACCGGTTCAACCGGTCACCCGTCCGGGTCAATTGAAGAGTGCCTAAAATTGCAGTTTTAAGTTATGCAGTTTCTCACATTATTTGGCTACAGTGTTTTATAATTTTTTTTCTTGTAATTTCTAGCATTATATAATTATTTTCAGTTTAAATTAAATTTAATAAATATATAAATTCACATAATAATATTAAAAATAAATTTCAAAACAAAATATATATGAAAAACAAGTTTTAAAATTAAATAAATAAAAAAATAAAATATCATACAACTAATTCATATAAAAGTGTGATATATTTATAATAACTCATTACAGTGCATAGACATATATATACAATTAATTATTATAAAAGTATCATACTCTGTTTTTCATGTCAAATCATTTTTTAATGATAATTAATTATATATATGTCTATATACTGTTTTTATAAATATATCTATGATGTAAATATATCTATGATACCTCTTCAACCAATATAACGTGGCCCAATAAACGTGAAAGTGTTGGCTGGGGAGTGCACGAGGCGAGTGCCCTGTACAATTAATTCCATTGCAATTGATCATCACTTCATCAGAACACAAACCATCATCAAGCGATTTAAAAAAAAAAAAACAAAACCCAATTATTGATCTTTCATGGCTCCTTTTTATCAACCTCTAATTTAATGGGTGGTTTTAGACAAGTCTTTCGATGAAGGCTGATTTGATCTGCTGCCCGCTGCTTCTCGATCTGGAGATGCGATGGAGAAGCTGATCTGCTGTTGGATCTGGAGATGCGAAGGAGAAGCGATCTGTTGCCCGATCTGCTACGGTGCTACCCTGTGGTTTCTTCTTTGTCGATATGGCTGGAAAAGTGATGGAAAGTTGGAAACTAAAGAATCCAGAACAGTAATGGAGAACAACGATCAGATTTGGAAAAGCAATGGAGACTGGATTTGAGAGTGGAGAACCGATGGAGACTAGAGAATGGAGAAAAAATTATCAGATTTTGCTTTTGTGTTGGAAAAAGTGGGAAATCGTGAAAAAAAAAATGAAAACGAAGTTGCAGTAGGCTTGCAGCATCCCGTCACCGTGGAAGAATTCGCCCGGCCGGTTCACCGGGTCTATCGGGTTGGACGGGTCAGACGGTTCTTCCGGGTTTGGACGATCCAACCGTCTAAACGGGCCTAGGTGTCCACCCGGCCCGTTTTGTCCATCGGTTGACGGTTCAACCAGTTGAACCGACCGATCCGATCCGGTTCTTAAAACACTGATTTGTGGCTTGTTATATAAGCAATATATAAAAATAAAAAAGTATAATTTATAATATAAACTATAATTATATCTTAAATTAATTTAATTAATGCATTTAAAAAATAAATAATTAAATGCTTACTTAAATCATATATAGCAGTTAAACTTTTTTTTTAAATATAATCTATAGAAACACAACACATTGATATAATCTACATAAACATAAAACACTTACTACTAAAATTTCAACCTTCAGCAACATGGGAGTATGTTGCTGAAAGTGCTTGCACCGTTGCTGAAAATGTTTGTAATGTAAGTAAAAGCCTTTTAGCAATATAGTTTTGTTGTTGAAAGCTTTGTTGAAAAAGTTTTGGTGGCTGATACATTAGTAACAAAAGGTATGTTGCTGATACATTAGCAATATAACCCTTGTTGCTAAAGAACACTTTCAGCAATGTGATTTATGTTGGTAATATTCTTGCCAGATTTTGGTGACTGATGGTAGAGTTTATTCAACCATTTTCAGCAACAAAAGCCATGTTGCTAAAACTATATTTTTAGTAACGTGGCTCATGTTACTGGAAGTTTAAGAGAAATTGTGGTTTTCAGAAGGTGGTTTTCTTTTCCAATTTTCAGCAACAAGAGTCACGTTACTGAAAGCTCAAGAATAGTACATTCTCTAGTTTTTAGCAACTCATGTCTTGTTGCTGATATTTATTTGCATACTTCCTTGATATTAATTAACTACTTAATAAATTTTAGCTTAATTAATGTAAATTAAATAACATCAATTAATTAATGTGATATTATGTATTTTACCAAACTT